AGAATAAACAATGTAGACATTCTTGGCACTAAAATAACATATCCTCTGTTCATTAGTTACGTCTCTAGGCCCCTCTTATATTACTATTGCTTTCTATTTTGATTTTTTATTCATACAAAAAAATACAAAATTTACTGTTATGCAGACTACTGCATTATTGTAAAAATGGTATAAATAATATCAGTGCACTAGTCAAAGAATATTAGACTCCTCAGTTGAAGTACAGTGGACCCCCGGTTTACGATATTATTTCATTCCAGAAGTATGTTCAGGTGCCAGTAATGACCGAATTTGTTCCTATAAGGAATATTGTGAATTAGATTAGTCCATTTCAGACCCCCAAACATACACATACAAATGCACTTACATAAATACACTTACATAATTGGTTGCATTGGGAGCTGATCGTAAACCGGGGGTCCACTGTACATTGGATGTGTGGTGTGATTTGCTTACTCCTGAACATTGGTAAAAATCAAACATTTCTGCTACTTTGAGCTCAATTTCAAGGTCATTTTCATCATGAAAGTAATCAAAATCATCTCTATTTCTGTAATATGTTTTCCATTTTATCACCTGAGACCATGAAAACGAGAATACAACGAACGGGAAGTACAGAGCTCTATGGACAGATTTGTTGTGCAACAGAGGTCCAGTGACTCTCAAGCTGGTCCTAGTGGCATTAAAAGAAGAAGGGAAGTAACCCCAGAAAAGGACTTGCTACCTCAAGTCCTAATGGAAGGGGATTCCCCTTCTAAACAATAACTTCCACACTCTCCCCTCCTCCCGTCCCATCAATCATCACCAGATCTTTAATAAAGGTAAGTGTCATGTATTCTATTCTTAGTAGAGTAGTAACTGTGCATGTCTTCTTCAGTTTGTGTGTATTAAAATTAATATTTCATGTGGTAAAAAATTTTTTTTTTTCATACTTTGGGGTGTCAGGAACCGAGTAATTTGATTTCCATTATTTCTTAAGGGGAAAATTAATTCGGCTAATGATAATTTCGGCTTACAATGAGCTCTCAGGAACGGATTAATATCGTAAGGCGGGGGTCCACTGTAATAATAATAATAATAATACAGTGGACCCTCGACTTATGATATTAAACCATTCCAGAGAGCTCATTGTTAGATGAAATTATCGTTAGTTGAATTAATTTTCCCCATAAGAAATAATGGAAATCCAATTAATCTGTTCCAGACACCCAAAAGTGTGAAAAAAAAAAAATTTTTACCACATGAAATATACATTTTCCTACACAGAAAAAGAAAGATATATGCACAATATACTGTACTAAATGAAGAATAAATGACACTTACCTTTATTGAAGATGTAGTGATGAGTGATGAGACACTGTTTTTCTTGAACACTCTGGGATTTTCAGAGTGATACATGAGTAAAGGCTTCACTTTGCAATTCCCACTAGCATTACAACAAAACAAGAGAGTTAGCCTGTTTTTCATAGGTTTGTGTCCTGGGAGTGCATTTTCCTCCTAAGTAATGTAGGTCCTGTTTACAATTTCTTCCAAAACAGACCTGTTTCGTCACAATTAAACACTTGGGGCTGGAATTTTTCAGCTTCACCATGCCTTATCACACTGTGTATGCCACTATGATTCTTAAATCTCTCAAACCAATCTTTGCTGCCCTTAAATTCACCAATATGAGCACTAGTTCCAGGCATTTTTTCCTGTTGACCTGGGTGTTAGTTGACTAGTGTGGGTCGCATCCTGGGGGACAAGGTTAAGGACCCCAATGGAAATAAGTTAGACAGTCCTCGATGACACACTGACTTCCTTGGGTTATCCTGGGTGGCTAACCCTCTGAGGTTAATTGTTTCTCGGTAATTGTTTCTTGTTAAGCCACACCAACAACAGTCTCTCCACATCGAGTAGTACAGCTGACGGTGGTGCAGCAGCAGTTGACGGTGGTGCAGCAACAGCTGATGGTGGTGCAGCAGCAGCTGACCATGGTACAGCAGCAGCAGCAGCTGACTGTAGTACAGCAGCAGCTGACGGTGGTGCAACAACAGCTGACGGTGGTACAGCAGCAGCTGACAGTGGTACAGAAGCAGCAGCTGACCATGGTATGGCAGCAGCAGCAGCAGCTGACCATGGTACAGCAGCAGCAGCAGCTGTGGTGCAGCAGCAGCTGATGGTGGTGCAGCAACAGCTGACCGTGGTACAATAGTATTTCAATAGTATTTCTCACAATAGTATTTACCACACGGTTGGCACTAGAAGCTTTCTTTGGGGCCATGGTGTCTTATTTAGCAGTTACAAGCACTAAAAACAATGAATACAAAATTTATCAAATGTGTGCAAACAACCATCTGCCCTGGCTTGTAAACAATGGCACTAGCTGAGCTGAGGCGCTCTGGCCAGACGGACAGCATTAGGGACGAATGATGTAAATCGAGTTTTTCTTCATAGGTCGGGGAAAATTTTTTACACTGAAACGCTTCATAAGTTGATTTTATAGATAGATGAGGCCTTTGTAAGTCAAGGGTCCACTGTAATGATAATATTAATAATCTCTCAGGCTCATTAAATGTCGTATACGTATTACATTAATATAGACATTTCCATTAATCCATCTACGTTATTTTTTTTCAAAATTTTATAAGAAACACATTACATAACACATTAACATGATACATACACCCAGAGTATAAAAATTGTTCCAGTCGACCAAACTCATTGCTATTTCTTTAGAACTCCATTTTTTCTATCGATTGAGTACAAGAAACTGCCCATTTACCGATTTCAACTACCCAATAACGTGGTCAGAAATTTGCAATTTGGCCAATTTTACAAAAATTAAAAAATATGACAATTTCAAAATAGGGTCCAGAATAAACAATGCAGACATTCCTGGCTCTAAAATAACATTTTTTTTGTTCATTAGTCATGTCTCCAGGCCCCTCTGATATTACTCTTGCTTTCTATTTTGAATTTTTATTCAAAGAAAAAATAGAAGATTTACTGTTATGCAGACTACTGCAATATTGTAATAATTGTATAAATAATGTCAACCCATTCATGACTGCATATTAGAATGGCTACTTGGACATTTATTGGAAAATGACATCATTTGTTTTACTTTTGAACATCTGCAAAATTCAAACATTTCCCCTACTTTGAGCTCCATTTCAAGGTTCTTTTCATAGTAAAACCAATCAAAATCACCTCTAGTTCTATAATATGTTTTCCATTCTATCAAATGAGACCAAGAAAACGAGAAAACAACCATAAATACTATACAAAAATAGACCACAAAGTCGGCATTTTAATTAAAAAAAACGGTCGGAGTTTTTTTTCTCATTATGCACTGTGCTGCAGGATTTTTTTTATATGGTGCACACTGACCACACAGACCCATTCTCTCACATGTGAGCCTACCAGCTTTCTCCTGCTTGATTTGAAGCCGCTAGAATTTATGAGTATATATACGTCAAAAACGGTGGCTCGTAAGACTTATATATCCTACCAAAACAGTCAAAGGGTTAAGGTAATTAACAAGTGCACTGTGTGTGTATTTTACTTTTATTGTTTTTTAATGCCTAGTTCTATTGCTAACTTAATATATGTTAGTGTAAACCTGTTATCTAGCATTTATATGCATTTATAAGTGGGAGAAAAAAAAAAAAAAAAAAAAAAAAAAAAGGTGTTCCACTTTACAGCAGTAGTCTGGAGCCTAATCTGCCATATAAGTGGGGCCCTACTGTATCTGTAAAAAGCATTGGACTACCAGCCTTTCAAAATTCATCAATAAACCTATTACAGTGGACCCTTGGTTATTGGCCTTTCTGGACATCGGCCAATTAGGATTTCAGCCGCTTTTTTAGCCGAAATTCTATCCCAGATTTCGGCCATCAACTCGGAAATCAGCCATATTGGATGCATCCATCCCACCACTCCACCGCATTCGTGAGTCAGTTTGGCCAGAATATGTCCTCGACAAGGAGGCTGGCCCTGTTGGAGAAGTCCATGGGGTTGGATGTAAGTGGCCAGGATGTGGAAGAGTTGGTGGAGAACCACGGGGAAGAGCTAACCACTGAAGAGTTGCAACACCTTCATTTGCAACAGCAACAGACCACAGATGAGGAAATTGCTTTAGAGGAGGAGGAAGATAGAGGGAAGAATGTGCCTTCATCATTGATTAAGGACATGTGTGCAAAGTGAAGTGAGTTGCAAAGTTTTGTAGAGAAATATCACCCTGACCAAGCTGAAACAAGCCAAATCTGCAACATGTTCAGTGACAAAACCTTGTCCCACTTCAGACAAATCTTAAAGAGACGCCAGAAACAAACCTCTATGGACAATTTTTTTGTGCGACTGGGATCCAGTGACCCTTAAGCAGGTCCTAGTGGTAGTAAAAGACAAAGAAGGGAAGTAACCCCAGAGAAGGCTTTGATACCTGAAGTCCTTTCAGAGGGGGATTCCCCTTCCAAACAATAATCAGTCCTCCCTCTCTCCTCCACCCTGTCTTCCATAAGCCAACAAGAGTCTTCAATAAAGGTATGTAATAGTGATTTAAATGTTCATTTATTTAGTTAGTTTATTTAGTTCTCATTGTTTTGTGTGTGTAAAACTATAGTTAATCTTTAAAAAATGCATTTTTTTGTTAATATTTTTGGGTATCTGGAACGGATTAATTACATTTATATTAATTCTTATGGGAAATATTATTTCAGTGTTCAACCTTTTCGGATTTAAGCCGACCTTCTGGAACAGATTACGGCCAATAACCAAGGGTCCAAGGTATATATGATAGCTGCTGGACTACTATATTACAATGCCTAAGATTTCAAGGTTGGAGTATACCTGGAGGGTGCTCTGGGAGTCAACACCCCACCAGACCTCGTGGTGGATCATTTTTTATAAAACTGGATTTATGTTGAATTCCACCACCGACCTATCTTTTTTCTAACTTAATGTATCTAAATTTTCTTATTAATGTGTGTGTGCATGAATGTAAGCATGCAATTACTCACACGGCGATCTTGATCATCTCTCTCCTCTGGTGAGCTCCCAAAGTTGTAATGACCCAGCAGATATGGCCACACCTGTAGAGAAATGTAAGCTTTTAGATAAAATCTCTGTTTTCTACGGCTAATTAATAACTAAGAACTTATTTTGTTTTACCTTTTTTATTTTTTTTTTCAACAAACTGGCCATATTTTATCAATGAAGGGTGACCTAAAAAGAAAAAAGAAAGTTTCTCTTTTTAAATTTATTAATGTATATAGAAGAAGAGGTTACCAGCCCCTTGCTCCCAGCATTTTAGTTGCCTCTTATACCATGCATGGCTTTCAGAGAAAGAATTCTTTTCCACTTTCCCATGGAGATAAGAGAAAATAAACAAGAACAAGAACTAGTAAGAAAATAGAAGAAAACCCAGAGGGATGTGTATATATATGCTTCTGCACAGGACTGTGGTGTGATCTAAGTGTAAGTAAAAGTAGCAAGACCTACCTGAAATCTTACATGTTTATGAGACAGAAAACAAGACACCAGCAATCCTACCATCATGTAAAACAATTACAGGTTTCCATTTTACTCATTTGGCAGAACGGTAGTACCTCCCTGGGTGGCTGCTGTCTACCAACCTACTACTGTATTTAGGTTACCCTTTTAACCCGTAAACAGTCCAAACGTATATATACGTTTTTTCAACATTTGAAAGTATGTAAAAAAAGTAGATCTTCTTTTTGTTTTTTACATTTGAAAATGTGTAAAAAACTTTGATCTACTTTTTTTTTGTTATATTTAAAAATATGTAAAAAAAAACGTAGATGTACTTTTGTAGCACTACACATGTGAACGTAGATCTGCTTGGACCGTTTACGGGTTAATATATTTTTTAAAATGAATACTATTCTGAAAAAAATTCTCATGTGCTTTACTCCTTAACCCCTTGATTGTCGCAACCCCAAATCCTGAGGTGTCTCCTGGTGTCGAAAAATTTTTGAGAAAAAAAAAAAAAAAAAAAAATTCTTATGAAGTGACAGAGAATCTTTTCCCAATGGTAATGACACCAAAAGAACGAAATTTGATAGAAAACTTAAGGAAATACGCTCTTGCAAAGTTAGCAACCTCGGCAATATATACGAATCGCCGATTTCGCCTATTTTGAGCCCTATTTTCAGCTAATTCCATTGTTCCAGTCGACCAAACTCATAGCTATTTCTTTAGAACTCCATTTGTTCTATCAATTACGTACAAGAAATTGCCCATTTACTGATTTAATCTACCCAATAACGTGGTCAGAAATTTGCAATTTGACCAATTTCACAAAAATGACATCGAATCGAATCGAATCGAGGACGACGAGAGCTGTCGTAAGATGGGAAGGAAGAAGGAGAAGGAAGGATGGAAATAACTGGAAAAGGATGGGGAGGAGGGGAAGAGGAGGAATCAAGGCAAGTGGCCCAACCACTTTGGGACATGTGGTACAAAAGTACTGGAGACGTAGATAGAGAGGCTTGACTGATGTCATTGCTTGGCTCACTAGGAGAGGATGGCGAAGGCAGCGGTAGGAGCTGGGAGTTTCAGAAGGCAGCAAGCAGGATGAGTTGGTTATGGTCTTAAACCGTTTATCAGTGCGGTAAATTGTTTTTGAGAGAGTTGTATCACACTTATGGGAGAGCTGTAGTAGTATTCGTTGGTTTGGAGTTGGTGGAGTATCTGGTTGTAGGTAGGGAATGGTCTTTCTGCGCTTTGGTACGATACAGTGTTGTCTTGGAGATGTTGGATGAGTTCTAGGCGAGTCATGCTTGCAGGGTATAGCCTCGTGGTGTAGAATATGAGTCCTTTGTGTTTAACCCATGGTGTTCCAGGTAATCGACGTGAGCTAAGTAGAGAAGGCGGTGGTGGAGTAGAGGAAAATGGTGTTGCTTCATTTTCAACTTCAGTAGACAAATTAGAAGATGTTTCTGGTGGTAAGGCTTCTGATTGGTTGGATTCAGTGAGAGGTGGTGGCGGTGGAGGCTTCTCATTGGTCGTTGTTGGACTGACGTCACTAGTTGGTGGTGTTGATGGAACTTCTGCAGAAGAGTTGGCGATTAAGTTTTTGGTGAATTTGAGAATTTCTTCAGAAGGTGGAGATGCTGGAAATGTAAATGAAGGCATGTTATTTAATGCAAATAACTCGTTGATGGTAGAGTTAAATGATCCAGGTACAGCCATGTTTTGCATATGAGCGTATAGTAGACAGTAGTGAATCTTCGTTACATCACATGTTGGAGGAGTGATGGTAGTGGTGGTGGTGGAGGCGGGCTGAGTAGATGCTTGAAGTAATTTTGTCAATTTCAAAACAGTCCAGAATGAACAATGCAAACATTCCTGGCTCTAAAATAACATTTTCTTTGTTCATCAGTTACATCTCCAGGCCCCTCTGATATTACTCTTGCTTTCTATTTTGAATTTTTATTCAAAGAAAAAATAGATTTACTGTGATGCAGACTACTGCAATATTGTAATAATTGTATAAATAATGTCAACCCATTCATGACTGCATATTAGAATGGCTAGTTGGACATTTATTGGAAAATGACATCATTTGTTTACTTTTGAACATCAGCAAAAATCAAACATTTCCCCTACTTTGAGCTCCATTTCAAGGTTCTTTTCATAGTAAAACCAATCAAAATCACCTCTATTTCTATAATATGTTTTCCATTCTATCAAATGAGACCAAGAAAACGAGAATACAAGCATAAATACTATACGAGAATACACCGCAAAGTTGGCATTTTAATCCAAAAACACAGTCGGAGTTTTTTTTTTATTATTATGCAATGCGTGCTGCATGATTTTTTTATATGGTGCACACTGACCACACAGACTGATTCTCTCACATGTGGGCCTACCAGCTTTCTCCTGTTTGATTTGAAGCCACTAGAATTTTTTAGTGTATATAAGTCAAACACACCTATGTAGTAGGTTGGTAGACAGCAACCGCCCAGGGAGGTACTACCGTCCTGCCAAATGAGTGTAAAATGGAAGCCTGTAATTATTTTACATGATGGTAGGATTGCTGATGCCTTTTTTTCTGTCTCATACACATGCAAGATTTCAGGTACGTCTTGCTACTTCTACTTACACTTAGGTCACACTACACATACATGTACAAGCATATATACACACCCCTCTGGGTTTTCTTCTATTTTCTTTCTAGTTCTTGTTCTTGTTTATTTCCTCTTATCTCCATGAGGAAGTGGAACAGAATTCTTCCTCCATAAGCCATGCGTGTTGTAAAAGGCAACTAAAATGCCAGGAGCAAGGGGCTAGTAACCCCTTCTCCTGTATATATTACTAAATGTAAAAGGAGAAAATTTCGTTTTTCCTTTTGGGCCATCCCGCCTCAGTGGGATACAGCCTGTGTTGAAAGAAAGAAGATACGTCAAACACGGTGGCTCATAAGACATATACGTATATATGACCGAAACAGTTAAAGGGTTGAACTGTCATCACAGCTTTATTTACAAGTTAAAAATTATGCTGTAGTCCTTTCTTTTTTAAATTAACACTATCTTCACATGCTGTTACACTATTACCTCCTTATTTGCTATTTATTTCTCTTGAATTTCAAGTTTCTTTTTAAAATTAAAGCTTAATTCAATGTTTGTCATTAAGTAATCAATAATTTTAACCAAAATTTGTATCACAGAATTATGCAATTTTATATTTTAGTGTGTCCTACATTTTTATACAACATCTACTATATTTTGTATTGATATATTTTTATATTAGTCTTAGCCTTAAACTGCTAAGCATAACAACAGGCTTTTTCTTGGAAGATATAAATATACTGTCAGCCTACCTTTGTAAATCTACTGTAGCTTCTTGAGATATAAATTACTTATTTTACCTAAGAATGAATAAATGCTAGAATGCCCTAAGTGATGTTTCACTCGGAGGAGCACTCTTGTTTTACCTCTTTCCTAATGTGTGATGCAATGCCACCTAAGTAGACCCGGGTGAGAAGCTCCTCCTGGTGCATGAGACAGCCATTGGTGTGAAGGGCCTGCCATGCTTCCTCTGTCACCCCTTCATTCCATGCTGTAGATAAAGGTGGTCATTAATATAGTATGTAAGTTCTGGGGTCAACTCTTTACCACTGATAAACTAGTGTGATGTCTCTCAAGCCAAATGGTATTTCTCATATTTATATTTAAAATACCACCCAGTGTATCTCCTTGTTCATCAACCTAACAAACATTTTACTTCAACATATTTATTTCCATTATTTTTTTAAATACCATTTTCAGATTTTTTGACAAAGTAGAGATACTAACATCATTATTCAGTCTCATGTTGACCTGTATGTAGAGTACATTAACAGATGAATCTTGAAGCTCCTGAATAACATTTTATATATCTCTGTGATGCATAAGCCACTGACATTACTCTGACATCATTATCACTTCTGCACAAGATCACCAACCAGATATCATTGATGCAAGTTCTTGCAGCACAAGGGAGTCATTATACTATTCATCAGCATGAGATATAAAGTTCAATGGAGTGATCTCCTGCTCAGGTTGGACTGAAGAAAGGAGAGGGATAAATAAGGGTCCTTTGGGACACACAAACAGAGTGATGCTCATTTGCTTTGGCAACTTCAGCAGTCTTTTTCCTTCTTGCCAACAATGGTAAGGACAGGTTCAAAGTCAAGTTCACACTTGCCTGCTAACTTTCAATATTTTTTTTCCAAAACTGTTCACACAGTGGTAGTAGTGTTTATGGTGGACTTGTAAGTGTGCCAACAAATTTGTTCAGATGTCCACATAACCCAAAGTGTTCATGCTCTCACTGGTTGTAATGGTAGCAGCCCCATGCAGCTCATTTCAAACTGCACAAGTCCAGTTTGGAGAAAACCAGGGACACATTTTTGAAGATGTTTATATGATGCCTGGGGAAAGCAAGCGTGGCTGCAGAGAGTATGGTGGGGATAAAAAGTCAAAATATTTCATCGAATCGAAAGGATCAGAAGAAAACGTATGACATGTATAGTGCTCAATGTGCAGCTCAAATTACCACCAAGAATGATGAGGGGAAGTATAAGAAAAAGAAGAATATGGGAAGAGAAATGATCACAGCCATGAAGATCATTTATCATAGTCCAATTAAATTCAAGTGCTACAGAGAAACAGATAGACATATATTTAAGGGGACGTCGGTTTGCAGATCTAGATCAATCAAATCAAAGGATCAAAAGTGTGAAATGATTTACCAGATTAATTTAAAATTGTAACATAAGTTCAAACAAAAAATTAAATAGTTCTTTATGCATAATTAGTCAGATCATATTAACACTGTTTATCTCCCTGAAACTAATTTTTCATTGTAATTTAAAAAAATACCATTAAATATTTTCAAACTTGCCAATTAAATATCATAAATAGCACACAATACTGACAAGTTGATGAGCAACACTTAGGTATATTAACTGACATGCAACACATAGGTATCTTAACTGATCAAATGCTCTGCCTGCACATCAGGCTTTATCAGTCATATACAGTCATGATTACAATACTAGAGATGGTAGAATTAGTGTTAAGATAATTTTGAGGTAATCAGTCCTTCATCTCCAAGCTGCTACACCTCATTCCTGGTTCCAGTATATGCCCCTGGCCTCATGCCAGAGACTTATATATAGGATTCAATAAAATTCAAGTTTCAACTGGCAAGCAGATAAGCAACACCTCGGTATCTTTACTGATGAAACTTTTTTTGTTTGCACAGCAGGGTTGGTTAGTCAACAGCAGCGATTACAATACTGGAGACAGAATAATCACTCATTCAGGCTCCAGGCAACACACAGCCCCCTTTTTCAAAAGTTTACATTTTGTACTTAACTTACACCATATTCACACTTTTTACTATGCATTCTGTCTACAGGACACTGAACACAAACATTAACCCAAAGGTTAAATTCTTTCTAGAGAGCTACAGCAGAACAAATGGACACAGTACAAGAAACAAGTATTTCTTCAAAATTACACCTGCATGACTCAACCTGCTCATAAAACCTCCCTGCAAATAAAAGGTCCAAAAACATAAAACTCACTGACTGAAAATGCCAGAAGTTACCAATCTGCCAACATCTTTATTAACATTCTTAAAAAGCACCTATTAAATCTCACATAAAGGTTACAGCCATGATTTGATTTCACCACTTTACTTTAACCACTCTGTAAAATATAGATCATTGAACTGATATAAATTTGATGTAATTTATTTGTCAATGTTCAATTTCTCATTGGCAACCTGTCTCACTGTACTTTTTTTTTTCCAACATGTTGGCCATCTCCCACCAAGGTAGGGTGACAAAAAAGAGAAAAATATTTTCACCATCATTCATACATAATCACTGTCTTTGCAGAGGCACCCAGATATGACAGTTCAGATGTCACTCCAAACAGCCAATATCCCAAACCCCTCCTTTAAAGTGCAGGCATTGTACTTCCTACATCCAGGACTCAAGGCCAGCAAACTGCTTTCCCTGAATCCCTTCACGAAATATTACCCTGCTCACACTCCAACAGCTTGTCAGGTCCCAAAAACTATTTGTTTCCATTCACTCCTATCTAACATGCTCATACGTGCCTGCTGCATGTCCAAGCTCCTTACACACAAAACCTCTTTCACCCCCTCCCTCAATCCTTTCCAAGGACAACCCCTACCCCTCCTCCCCTCCAATACAGATTTATATACCCTCCAACTCAGCCTATTCTGCTCCATCCTCTCTAAATCACCAAACCACCTCAATAACTCCTCTTCAGCCCTCTTAATACTTTTTTGTAACTCCACACCTCCTCCTAATTTCCACACTATGAATTCTCTGCTTACTACAAATAAAAAGAAGAATTGTACTTAGTTATTGTAATGAATTACTCAAGCCGTACTGATATATACTGACTAAACTTATATGCTAGGTCTATATTTAGGTAGCATGCAAGCTTCATAATTAGTTTGCCTGAAATGTACTGAATATAAGTAGTTTTCTTCTGAGCTTTTAATGGTATCCAATTATACACTGTAAACTCTTCTGTTTGAAATGTAACGTATCTAGGTCTAATTCCAGCTATGGCTCCTCAAAATTTGCTGTTATTGCTTCAAGTGTTTTAGGAAGCAGAGAAGTGAAAGGCAGTGTAATGTTGGCTCAAATGATGGGGAAGCCTCTGAAGGTATAATCAACTTGTTGTTTCTAGGAAGGCTAGGGAATAAATGTAGAGGTGCACATATTTATGCAATTGATTTAGGAGCAGTGAAAGTTTTAGATGGTTAGTCAAAAATGTAGTTTTGAAAGGTCTCATGGCAGAAGGTTTTGTAGGTCTTTTGGAATATAATGTAGGTGTCTGAAGACACTGTTGAAGTGGAATGTGTAGGTTGAGGGACAATGAAGATGGCAGATGGTGAAAAGGTGGGAACATCAGTGTTGAGGAAAATGGGACACTCTTGAGAATATGATGCATTCTTTTGCAGTTAAGTCAGGAAGAGTGGCAGTCACAAGCTGGATCATTATGATCCATTTCTCCACAGACTGAGTTGCAATATTTTACTGGGTATCCATAGTGCCAACAGTTGCAACATTATTATAATGTATGTTTGTGTTCCCTCACTGGCAGGCACTGACCTGCTATAAATACTAAGGGAAAAGTGCCTGACTATCAAATTTCAGTTTAGCTGTATTGGCTGAGTATTTACACTTTTAATAGTGAATGCATGTGAGACAGTCTGTAAAATCTAGTTATATTACTGTGTGAGAGAGGAAAAGTGTCCCACAGCATGAACCGAGGATGAAGTGATAATGTACACTTACAGTGGCCTTTCCAATGAGCTAGGTTAGTTTATTGGCCTGGTCAGCATCATTAACTCAGATGATGCACATCCCACTTTTGTAAGGGTTGAAGCAGAAGTCTTCGCCTATGTGTCAGAGTCCTTGTGCGAGTATGTGCACATAGATGGTATATTTTGGGATTCATTATGTGCAGTTAAAAAATCATACCCAGTGTTGTTTGACAGACTTATGTCAGTGGGAGAGATTTCCATGCAGTGTATTTCTTGGTGCTGGATCAAGGTTTGTATGTAATGTCAGTATTGTCATTTGTCTGTTATCTGTACACAGATGACATCGATCCACTCAGTTTAGTGGCATGAGGACAATCCATGAATCACTGATGTGTCATGAAAAATGCAGGTGCAGTGGTCAATAAAAGGTAGGAAATCAAGAAGTTCCATAAGGGATAGGTGGAATGCCAGTGCCGAGTTTGGATAACAAAAGACTGGCCAAAAGCAATTCTGGGTTTGTAGGAGAGTCCATAGCTATAAAGGTCAGAAAAAGGTGTCACTGTTACTAGGGATAGAGGAGAATTAGGTTTATGTCTCGTTTACCATAAAGCAAACAATGGGTAAAGTTTCGAGAACAAACAAAACAGAACCACGTTTTCACACTAAATTACAGTCACCTCCACAGTGATAGGTTGTTCTGTTGTTCCCTGAAAACCACCTCTTACCTTACTTGATGCACAACATAAGTAAGGCACTGCCAGAAATTACTGAGTTAGACTGCATTATTCTAGATTAATTTACACAGAAGTTACTAGTGTACACAGACAATTATAAAAATTTAAACTTGTGTAATAAATAAAAACTTGCTTTCAAGAGCACTAACCATGCAATTATCTATCAGCTAATAATAGCAGTAGGCAAACCAGAATAAATACCAGGAGCTATACACCTTCAGTTGCTACTCCTGGATCTGCAGGCAACCTCCAATAATACTACTGTCATCAAAGGATAAGTTTCCTGACTGACCCGCTTCCTTTTTGGTTCCAATGCCTTTCTTCAGCAGAGCTCTCCAGTAACTTGCATTAACTCATTCTGAATTATATTTAACTTACATTTCATTTTCGGAATAAACAGTTTGATACCATTTTAACATTAAAATTAGCAAACCAGCAACTACACATGCCAAAAAAAATCCCAACCTTTTTCAAAGCAGGTTACAAGTGTTTAAAGTCTGAAGTTGCACAGAAGAGACTGTCTCAAGT